CTTGCGTGTCCCAGGGATCTCAAGACCGAATCCTTCTGTTGTTCCAACTCCAGTAGGACCACCAATAGTGGTAAGGCCGAGTAGGAGTGGCCAGACGAACAACCCGAATTCCACAACGGCGGAACAGGCAAAAATCTTCACGAGCTTATCGGTCAGACAGGCGAAAGCGGGCACCCCAAGTCGGGCTCGTGTAACCCAAGATGACATTGACAGTTCTGGCATCCGACATCCTGATGAAACCAGGTTTGCAAGATCCCACCTGTCTCAATCTCATTTGAGCCATGAAGGTAGGGCTTCCGGTCGTGTGTGGACTTCTCCGTCGCGAGGATTTGTCCACTAAAAATTATTCCCGCGAACAGCGTTTGTCAAATTAACTTTGATTCATAGCCATCTCAGCTAACGCTAACGGTGGCTGAGATGGGTGAATAGCGAAAGAGTATGACGATCCTGATGATTGGATGCGAGCTTGTGCTGACGATAATTCAATAAAGTAAATGATGAAATCTTACACTATTAAGGGAATATTATAATACTGTAGAACACATCAAATTCAATGACATTGTTAAAAATAAAATAAAAATTCGAGGACAACAAACATTGTTCAAATTACAATTTTCTGATTGCGTTAATTTAACGAGTATCTTGAATAATTTTACTTGCATCAAATCTTGATTGATGAATTCTACAAGTTTTCACAGTTATCCGTCATAACGTGTCACTTGCAAGGAATTTGATTTATGTCCCAGAAGAGAAAAAAGAAATGAGTTTTGGACATCCTGTGCAGTTGTGATAGCAATTAGAAAAATCTATAAAATATGCAGGAATCTAATTGAAAATTCATAGGTAATTGCAAGTTGACAAAATATGCAATAGACGAAATGTTGACAAAAATATATATGTATCTATTGAATGTATATTAAAATACAAAGATTCGCAATAAAAATAGGTATATATCAGTATATATCACAACAAAAACGTTTAAATACGCAGATTGATTGAAAAAGTGACGACATCTAAACTTATTCTCATAATGAAAACATACTAGCTATGGGAACATGTATTTAATGATGTTATTATAAATTGTGAAAATCATGGTTGTTGAAGTAAATTCACTTCACTCTTTGATATACTTATATAATTTCATGGGTTCTAAAGTTCGCTCGGTCGTACATTTTCGATAACAATGTGTCAACAGAATATAATGAATGTATAATAATGGAGCCTCATTGGAAAGTGATTTAGTTAAAATGTTTGAAAAGGCCTTTTCGATCACAGATTGGGGAATTAAAAAGATGTTATATTCGAAAATGCCCGAAAGTAAACATACGTCTGTAGGAAGACTCGTGTATACTGTTATACCGCTTAGCTTCATCATTGAAGCGGGGTGCTGGCAAATTTCATATTAATATATACATTTCATTAATCAATAAAATGAAAAATAAGAAATAAACCTCAGCTAAAAACTTTGCTATAACTGAAAGTTTGCCTAGAGAAAAAAAATATCAATGACCTTCTTTCCAAGAAATTGCATCAACTAAATAAATGATCAGAGTACATTTCAAAATGCAAAAAGCAAACAAACAAATTTCTACTTCGCTACTAACTTCTATGTCATGAAATGATATCAAAAAACCGAAATTTAATAAACTTTACTCATATGACTAAATTTACGGTGGGGGATGTGTAGTTTAGAATAAACAAATAAACGAACATGAAACTTGTAGTTACGTTATAATGATGATTTTCATTCTCTCTCTCTTCATCTGTCTGTCTTCCTCTCTCTCTCTCTCTCTCTCTCTGTATATATATATATATATATATATATATATATATATATATATATATATATATATATATATATATATATATATATATATATATATATATATATATATATATATATATATATATATATATATATATATATATATATATATGTATGTATAGTTACGATGAGATACAGCACTTGACTAAGAAACTTTTTGAAATACCAAGCGCATATGGAATGGAGGCCAGCTCGGAGAAATCGAAAATAATAGTTAATAGTACAAATATCATCTGTGTCAAAATTACCATGAACGGGAATTCACTGGAGGAATTGTCCAGTTTTAAATACTTAAGTGCAAACTTGTATAAAGATGGTACCTACAACTCGGAAATTCGCACACGGATTGCAGCAGCCATAGCGGTGATGGTCAGCTTTCAAACAAAGTACATACTGTACAAATCACTGGTCGACTCTATTCCCCTATACAGATGTGAAATGTGGACACTGTTGGCAGAAACAGAGAGAAGGATCCAAGTGATGGCGAAGAAATGCATGTGAAAACTCACTGACGCCTTCTATTGAGAACATAAACTTATGAGTTCTTGAAAATGGTTGAAAGTTTTGTGGGCCACCAGGAATCTATTCTTGCCAATGTCAAACGGAGAAGAATGTCGTGATTTGGACATGTTACAATTCACGGCAGCCTGTGCAAGACCATCATGAAAGGCAGTGTTGATGGTGGACGTAGGAGAGGACGTCAACACAAAAACTGGTTAGACAAAGTGAAACACGAGACAGGTATGACTATACTAGGATTGCTGATGGCTGCCGTTCATAGATGGTTGTTGAGGAGATTGTGTGGCTTCTGCATTCGGATCCCCACTATGATTACAAAAGTCAAGGGGTTAACAATGATGATGATGATGATGATGATGATGATATGTGATATATTTTAAGTTTATACGTTATTTTTTTAATAGAGACAATCTATTTAAATAAATGCGATGTTTTTACATAACATAAAATAATACTGTTTATTTAAAAAAATGAGAATTTACTTAAATAAATTGTATATAAAATAACGTATTAACAGAAATTATATTAAATAATTGACGGACTGCATCCATTTCATATATATACATATGTGTTTATGTGTGAGTGTGTGTGTGTGAGTGTGTTTGCGTGTGTATGTGCGTGAATGAGGGAGAGACATCAGGGAACGATATATATATCGTTTCCTTGTAGTGATGATTTTCATTCTCTGTTTCTATCTGTCTGTGTCTGTCTATATATGTATATATATTAAGTGTAACAGCAAAATTGTTCAAATCGTGTAAAAGCATGGGATGATTGTCCATCCTCCAAAATGTTTAATATAAAAACCCCACTAAACTGATTTCTTTTTTTTTTCGGATTTCCAAATAAGACATTTAGCCATCTTGACAGCATTTGCCGTATGAATCACTGAAAAACACTGAGTTATTCAGCCAGAAAAAAAACAGGTTAAAATCGTTTTTGTGTGAGCCTCATTATGTGTGTGTTTGTGTGTGTGTAGGGAGAGGGAGAGAGCGAGAAAAGAAAGAGTGGGAATAAGGTTAATATAACTACATCCTTTCATAAGAGACTGTGTTTTATCGCTTCATAAAGATGGCTGAAATCGAAAAGAATGATGCAAGAAGCATCTCTGATGGTCTGATCGTGACTTGTATATGACATGGAATTAAAGCCAAAGAATCATAAACAAATTATGGAATATATCTGTACATATACAGCATTTAACATTGTTTATTCACCGCAGGATCTTTTTTTTTTTACGAATCTTCCTTGTTGAAAATAACGAACGGTCACTTCCGTTTATGCTAAAAGACTAAAAACCAAGATCGATTGTTATTCGCAGGCAAAAACCTAATGCCGAACGGAACACCCAACTGCCCAAATTATTTATCTATCGATTACACGTGCAAAAATTCCTCTTCCAAAATTAATCACACGGGGTTAGACATTATCAACATGAAAAGAAATGCACAATGCTTTTTTTTATTTTTTTATCCGCTCCTGCCAAAACACAGTATCATGGGGCGCCATGTTGGCGTAAATCAAAGAATATGAATAAAGAAAAACAATAAAAGTGTACTTAGGCTTTTGTTCGTATGTATATGTTTGTGTTTATGCATACACAAGTACTTAAATGCTGGTCGATAAAATCAAATTATATACTTACATATACATACATAGATATATATATGTACACATATAGTAGACATGTTTATATCAGTGTCGATGCAAAATTTCTTATATGACTACTAAATAATCTTTTTAAATACGAATATGAACATATAATACTTTCATTTAGGGTGCATCTGCCTGTGCAAGTGTACGAAGTCATATATTTTTCTCATTAGGCCAAAAGTAAATTATGTGCGAAGCTTATGTATGCCTGCATGAACGCCAATAAAACAAAAATAGGATAGAAAGAGGAAATAAAAATCATGTTAAGAATTAATGTATGTATGTACGAAATGGTATCGGCAAGTTTCTTCGATCGTATGTACTGATTATTCTGTAGAACGGAAATGCGGGTGTAGAGATTGTTTATTGTTCCCGAGCCAACTGAGTCAGTCTACAAATAGGCTTTCTGAGTTACCTAAGGCTTTTAACGCAGGACGGAAAGTGTAACACGGAAATCTGAAGACACTTTTGGCAAGAAAAAGAGGCTTTGAAAAAGCTAAGCAAATTATTAAGAAACAGGAAAGTTTCGCTAGAAACGAAGAAAAGAATACTGAATTATCGGATATTGGTCCAACTATATGTCCGTGAATTCTGAACAATCTTCTCACATGAAAAGCCTTGAGGGAACAGAAATGTGTTTCTACATAAGGATGTTGAGAATACCATAGATTGAACGAGTAACGAAAGCAGTTTTAAGGAAAATGGAACCAAAAACGACACTTATATAACAGAAAGAATGACTCATTTCATATTTCTCACAGCCTATTACCCACTTGTACGTTGTTTAAAAGTATAAAATACTTTAAATCGCAAGAAAATATTCTTTTGGAGGGTGGAGATAATAATTATTTAGTGATAGAATTCTTACTAAAAGTAGGGACGAGAAGAGGGGGAGTCATACCTGAAAGTGAATATAAAGAACTCAAATGGAATTGAGATTCGGTTCTCGGAATTCCGAGCCATTATCCAATACACCACACACACAACAAAGTTTACTCTCGCTAATATTCGCAAGATGTCGCCCATCTAAGTACTGGCCAGGCTTGACGTTTCTTAACTTCCGTGATCATATGGAATCCGATGTTTCAACTCTGTGTTACCGTAAGCGACATCAGAAGATTAAGTTGAAATTTTTACGGTACATAATGAAGAAAGAAAGCTTAGAGAATTTGGCAAATCATGATATACTAGACGTTTACAGTGCACAAGCTAGTTAATCTGCTTGTGTATATGGATGGCAGAACAGGGGTTAGGAGAGATAGCAAAAAGACAAAATATACTAAGAATTACAAAATATAGAAAATCCAAAAGTTATGAAGGGATATGGCACGAAGAAGAAGAAGAAGAAGAAGAAGTGATTTCTGGCATTTTTTAATTCATATTTCAAATATATTTCAGAATTAATTTTTCAAATTTTGTTGAAGCTTAATGGCAAAATATCAGTTATGTAGACATATTCATCACTATGAAGGCAGAAAAAATAATTATTGTTAAATTATTGGAATAAAAACCAAAGTTTTGTTCTATATGTTGTAGCTGACACAGTAGGAATTTTATCAGCAGGAAAAGATATGAATTTTAAATTATCAAATAAATTTGAATAATCCACATAATTGTAATTTATTCTATGCCGAATTATTAATAGGAAAAAAGTTTTCAAAAAGCGTTATTTTGATGAATATTATTTGATATATCTAAATATTTACCCGAATGAAGCTTTAAGGACATTGTTCAAAATTCATACATTACATAAAACACTTTTATGCTAAATATTGTTCTATGTTGTGAAATTCTATCAATTGTATAAAAGTTGTCACGGAAACTGTAATCGCACAGCAATATTCAAATCCCTTGTATATCTGTTACGTTGAATGTCGCGCAAATACACTTAGGAATGATATAAATCTCTCGCTTCTCTGGCCACATGTGGATTAAATAGTAGACAAAACTTGGTTACCAACCAATCGAAGGAAAGGAAACTGAAAAATTCAACGGGAATGTTCTTCGCTATGTTAAGAACGATTTGTGAACAGTCATCATCACCTACTGACTGGATGAACATATAGTATTAAATGAATTGAAAAAAAAATCAATTGCTTGACAATAAATAATATTTAAGGCCAAAACAAATATTTAGAATATATTTTTCCTACTCTTGAGTTAGATAACCAGAATTTTATATTACATGCTGAGAAGGAATATTCAAAGTATAAATAATTAATATTCGTAGAGCGATTATGAATAACAAAGTCTTTCCATAGTAATGGCTGAGCATTTTTTGCGTATTTGAGGTGTAAAATCCGTTTTGAAAGTGAGGATATATACGGCTTAGTAGGAGGTGAGGAATATTTTTATGGCCATTAAATATTTCCTTTAAATGGAAATCATACATTCAGTAAATATCTATTTATATTTAAAATATATGCACACGCCACAACACAAGTAAATGTGCAATATTGTGACATTATTCAGGTATATTTGCTTATATGCAAATGAATTTAATAAAGTATATTTATAAGACCTCAACAACACACACTCGCAATCAAATATGTCCCCCTATGTGTATATATATATATATATATATATATATATATATATATATATATATATATATATATATATATTAAAGTAATTACATATATCTTTGTTACACATTCATTGCTTTTTTGAATATGAATATAACGATGATAATACGTGTAGGTTATGAAAAACTATTCTTTTAAATATATTTCGATAATTAAAACAAAAACTATATTTGGAGTAGAAGTGTTTCTCCCTTTCAGCACGAATCATATGCAAAATTTTACTGGACTGACCAACCAATGAATACTTCTCATCCCAATCAAGGATATAAAGCCACTAAAATGCAAGTGACTACTGTGTGTGAGAGAATATGCGAAAACATCACTATTAAGGAGGGAGAGATAAATAAAACAATAATAATTATGAAGACAGAAGAAAATGATTGAAATTTGTTCAACAAATTTAACTTTGAAGAGGGAAACCAGAGAGACTTCCACAAGCGATAAAAAAATGAAAGAATAAAAAAAACTACGGTAACATTTGGATATTCGATTTTAAAATGAAGAGAACTTCCCGCCAATATAGTACAACGCTTAGATAAGTTAGCATAGAAGAGAGTTCATCACAACAATCACCATGAAATTATTTATAGAAAAAGGCGCAGGGAATCTACGTGACGGCGGTAGGAATATGACTGAAGCCGAGATGTCAGATCAGGACCAATAACATTGTAGATTATTTTTTTGAAATTTACCAAGAATCTCTAAATATATAGCAGATGCACCAGACTAAATGTGACAGCAATATTCAGTATGAATACTAACTTTATTAGATAGACAGATATGTAAGATAGAATAAATTATTTTTCACACACAATACCATTTGAAAAAGTATAAATCCACTTATTTTTCTCCCAGACATGAGATAATTGCTAAGTTATCTACCGCTATATCATTTTATCTAGAAAAATAATTTCTACAATGAAAAAATATTTCATGGCTTTAAATAACCTGAAATTGCTTGATAAGCCGTAGGAAACGAATCTATCAATCAATTAAACAGTATCCACTTAACTCCATAAAAGAAAATCTACATTGCTGTAGTTCAGCCAAGATGCAGCTTGATTTATAATTTTTCAGACGTTTATATGATCGTCAGTTTGTAGCCGTAAGTTCTATTAGTACATTTTGTGCGACCCTTCGTTGTTAGCATTCGTACTTGCTTTGAATATTGATGTCAATATTGATCTGGTGATCCTGCTATATATTTAAAGATTCTTGATAAAATGCAAATAAGAATACGCAATGTTATTTGTTCTGAACTGGCATCTCGATTTCAATCCTTTTCCCACTGTCGTAACGTAGATTGCCTGAGCGTTTTTTATAAATACTTACATACTTATATGTTCTTCTGAACTTCCTTCAATAATACTGAGACATCATGAATTTAAGGGCAGTACTAGATTGGTGGTCATCATTTTACAGTAGAAATGGCTAGATGTAAGCTTAAGTTCTGTGTTAAGAGTTACTTCTATCGTACTTCATGCTTGTGGAAATCTCTCCTGGTTTCTTGATTCCCAGTCAACTTTGATCCTGAAAAAAGTAAATGAAATATCAATCAAGAAGTAGACTTGGCAAATTTCTGTCGGAGTGAATTAGGCCATTGTACTTTTTTTTTTTTTCTCACAGACGTTTTCTAACTGACTCTACTATACTGTGGAGTCGACAGAATAAAAAAAAAATAGACAAACGCACACATGATGTTTAAAATATAAAATGGCAACAATTTACCTATTCTCCCTGTATACAGAAATTGATGTATCACAAACACACAAAGACCCCCATATATATATATATATATATATATATATATATATATATATATATATATATGTATACATATGTATATGGAAATATTTGGAGCAATTCAGAAGAATGCAGAGTTAATTAAAAGTTAGAATAAAGGATAAATCAGAAAAGATAGCCAAGAACAATGTCAAAGACTCTAACAAGATCGCCAAAATGAAGAAGAGCCAAAAATGTAAGAAAAGATACACCATTTTTGGTTATATTATCTGACGTCAATCCATAAAAATATTTATCATTGATAATGAATAATACTAATGAATCTTCCAACACTGTCCGAAGTTCCTATTTTGTTATTTTTGTTAAAATGATTTCGACTTTCCCAGTCAATGGGAACCGATGTACTGTCTGTGTTGTAGCTAAGCTTACTGTGTATGTACCTGCTTTTTAGGAAACTGGACGTTTGAAATGGTCCCGCTTGACGCCTATTGGGACACCAAATATTGAAATATTTTTACTTATTAATTCAATTATCTTTTAAAATTTTATGTTATAATTTTTATTATAATAATTATATCATATATTTTAAGATAATTTCTCCTGTGTTTTGATTAATCTGGTCTGTATATTTTGTATAATAATAGCTTGTAGAGTTGTGTGCGCCTTTCCTTCTATTTCAAAATGTAGAGTATATATATATTTATATATATATATATATATATATATATATATATATATTGATGCATGTTTCATTAAATAATATAGACAAGTTTTGTCTATTTATTTCTAGTAAGTTCCTTTCATATTGTCTGAGAAGCTTAACAATATTATCATTGAAAGATGAAAGGAAATCACTATATTGATACATGTTTTAATCCAGTCTATGATTTCGGCTTACATAACCAATATCAAAGATACAATTGCTTATCAACCAATAGACGGACGAAACAATAATGATAGTCATTTTTTGTTGCATGAAAAATTTCAAAGCAACGACTTACACGTGTATACGAGACGCGAGCGCGAAAATCGCGTCGCAGCTCGTGACGTCACACATGACCAAGCGAGAGTGAAAACGAGAAGTATTAAGTCTGGGAAGCTGTTGGTATAAACGAATGGCTTCTGTTATCAATTATAGGCATTTAAGAATATTAGTGGAGATTTCGTAGTTTATTTCGTTATAAAGTACAGGCTCTCGAGAAAGAAGTTGAGCAACATGCTCCATAAGTTTTACACTGAACGGATGCTTGACAGTAGTTACTGCTAAATTCAAAGAGCTTTGAAAGCGTCTTATTCGGATTTTAGATTGCTTATCCTTTGAATATAGCTCAACTTTCGTTTCATCGGAACATTTAGTAAAATAAAACAGGTGGGTCACTTTTATCGAATAGCACTGCATATATATATATATATATATATATATATATATATATATATATATATATATATATATATATTTCTGTTTTTTAATTTTCAATCTCCCGTGGAAGCCTGACGAGCGCGAGCGAAACCGGTTGCTTCCCCACCCCTTGTTGTTGAGTTTTTTATTATTTAATACTTTTTAATATGTCTTGTAATATTAAATTTTATACTTTTATTTCGATCATTAAATTTTGTACCTACAAAAATATCTTTAAATATATATATATATATATATATATATATATATATATATATATATATATATATATATATATATATATATATATATATATATATATATATATATGAGTTGCGAATAAATATGTATCGTAATCCGACAGAAGG